ACTCACTAACTTTGTGGTGGTCTGATGAACGGACAAATATCAACGCGACCAACTGTCGGATTCACCCTAAACTTTATCAGGACTAAATTAATATTGTGAAGACCTACACAGTTCCGTCTCGGCCCCTCCCGCGTGATTGGGTTTGTCCAATGTGACAGAAGCCCCCATCGGACTCGGTCTCTAACGACGGAACCCTGAAATCCAGTCACGTTAAGGAATTCAGAAACGCGCACTCAGAGCTTACCATTGCACAATGACGCCCGATGAAAATCTTCCCATTAAACTCGACCTGATCCCTGAATGCACGAATGTCAACATGATCAACATGAATTGTCCAGTCCAACATTGATCGGGCGACAATGACGGACTGTACAAACCTGGCCTCTATCCCATTACGACCTATGTTTTTCAGTCGCCGTGCCAAAACAGAAGCTAGGTCTTCATCTCCCCAATTTGCGCATGGTTATTAGTATAGACCACAAACCCGAAGTCAATCATGCAACAAAATCTATCCATTGAACCTGCCACAATGAATCCCCGAACGGACGGACGCCAACACGATCAGCTGTGGGCTTCATCTTAACCACCGATCGGGCCAAGCACTGGATTGTAGAGACTAGCCTCACGTCCCCACGCAATAGCTGAGCTGAGTTGGAACAAAAGGTAAGGTTTCTATGTCTTCAATTTGATGAATTAGGGTGCATGACATCTGGCACAGCAGCAACCAAGCACTTGGTAACCCACATGAGTTCATCGTGAACACGCACAACAGAAAAACCCACCACCAGCACGGTAACCACTCACAAACACCGCTACCAATGGCAATACCCATCATTACAGCATCCCGATCACCTCCAGACTCTACAATCATCTAGAGAAGGAAAATCAGATTAACCTTTCACAGATTCAGAAAACTCCCACAGTAGACACACCCCAGTTTCACGGGGGTGAGAGCACCGTCATGCAACCTCGTCCACCCTGGACTGCGTAGACTGCTGGCAGCGTGCGTTAATGCGTGTGTCGCACAGTGATCGAGGTGTCACTGTCAGTATCCGAGTCGTTTAACCTCCATCAGAAGCTTCTGCGGTAGACATCCAGTTTCACACTACCGAGAAAATAGAAGAGATGTGGGTGCATATCCAATTCTACCCACATGCCATCTTCTCTCTCGGGCGGAGAATGATGGACTCCCAGTATGCGTGTATGCATGCAGGCGTGCGTGCGTCGCACCATCGGGGACCCACTGAGTATGGCGTCAGTGAGATGAGAAATCGGGACCGAGTACTAGATAGCCCGGCGCTGCTAAAGTATCCATAATCGATCCAGGTCCAGCTTCGATCAATTTCCACGCCCGGGTCCGAGATACACCGGCCCGCGTATATGAGTAGCGCAGCGTCCGAAGAAGAAGTACTGATTATACCTACAAATTGACATCTCAGCACAGGATTAATGCTAGTATAACCGAAATTCATGACAAATGACTGAACGCTGAACGTTCGACTGTCAGTGGCGCCGCGATCTTCTCCATTTTCCCACCGCGATCGCACGTCACGGTGGGAAGATGGGTAAGTGAAGTCTGATCCCGATCAGTTCAGGTGGTGGAGGTTCAAGAGGGTCTAGGTTGTTAGTGGTGAAATGCGAGCGCAGATAAGTACAGCACAAGATTAAATGGGCGCTTATAAAGCGAATGAGGCTTTCTTGTACTGGTGGTGGCGTGATACGCATTTTAGTTCTGTCCCAGCGGCACGTGCATTCTACCGACTGCGGAACTTATCGCAGATATTCATATGCTTCAGCGTCAAGATAGCTATTAGCAGGCGATAGAAGATAAAAGTCGGCGGGCCCCACTGTCGAATGCGAAGAGTCAGCACTGGAGCCCAATAGCGATATATCGCAGTACCGTGACCGTGAGTCCCAGAACAAAAACAAGACGAGGAGCACGCCATTTCCTAGAACTCCAAGCGGCATGAACGTGAAGAGTCTGCACTGAGACCCAATAGCGATATATCGCAGTATTGTGACCGCAGAACAAGAACAACAAGCGCACCACTTTCTAGAACCCATGGTGGTAACAAAAAAAAAAGAAAGCAAGAAGCGTAACAGCCTCAAGAAGTAGAACGTCATTAACCAATGGCACGTTAATAGAAGCACAAGCGAAGATAAGAAAAACTTTGCAATACCGGCGGCAAGCCAGTATACGGCCACCAATGGTGGAGAAGGTCGGCAATTGAATGAACGACTAGACAATGCGAGGTATGAATGGTGGAGTGCGCCCGGTTCCTTCGGTCTACATATGTAGAGAGGGTAGAACTTTTGGGGGGTCGAGTATATGGTAGCTTGACGGGTGGATGGGATGCCACCAGATGCACTCGGAATTCCAATGTAAAAAACCTCCCTGTGGAGATGTATGCTACGGAAGCCAGCAGGGGAATAAATGAAAAACCGTCACCGAATTCGACATGGATGCACGTCGCAACTCCTGACCGAAGAATCTCGTTTTGCAGACGACGTGTGCATGTGCATTGCATAGCGCCGAGCCATGCTCGATCTGCAACAAACAGGTATCGGCATATGCAGCCGAATGGAAGATGGAACTGAGCACGACTTGGAAGTCGAAGCCACGGGCCGTAGCAAAGTGCGCACAGTAAGGATGGTGGCGGAGCACGAGAGGAATCTGGAACTAGAATATCCAAAATCCTAACAGTTCAAGGTTAACTTCGAACACGTGTACATACAACATGAACAAAACTGACGCTGCATGATGGAATTTCAACTTGATTGATGGCGCGTATTGCTGGCGTACATCTTGTCGTGCACATGTGTATTCTACCGTGACGTATGGAGAGTGCGCAGATCTGCCAGCGGGTGCACATTGCACGAGTGCAGATCGTAGTGAAAACATTGTTAAAAAGACCGTAGATCCACCATCCTGACGCCGCATGAGTCGATTGACGATTGACGCAGATCCTGTCATGCACATTCCACCGCAACATAGAGTGTAGATCGTAGTGATACATTGTTGAAAAATTGTAGATCCACCGTCCCGTCATACGCAGGATTACATGGACTAGGGTCTCAGATCTGGAATTCCGAAGTCAAAACGAATTACACAAGATCCACATTCACAGAACAGAGCAAAATAGGGCGTAGTGATATCTGAGCTGGTATCATGTGACAGAGGGAACATGCTGATCCCAAAGTGTGGCATGAGGAGTTTCAGGACCCTTCTCCCGGCGGCAGCTATTCTGGGCGGTGGTGGGTTGCTGGTGATGAAGGGGATCACGTCGGGTGCAGAGCAAGATAGGAACTTGTACTGATTGACCTGTCGTGAGGGCTGAATAAAGTCCAAGGAGAGAACGGAACGACGAAAGTCACGAGACTGTAGAACACACGGTGTGGGGAAACGATTTATTGCGACAAGCAGGGTCGGGGGGGTTGAGATACACGCTGTAGGTGCAAGGGGAGATAATTGGAATAAATTTGGAATAAATTATTTGATCTTGACGGAGTCAGCACGGCTAGACGGCGTTGATGGCAAGATCGATGCGGCGGAGATAGTGAAATTTGGGGGGGTCAAGTACTACCTTAACAGTCGAGATCAAATAATGCACAAGGCTGCGTGTTTTTAGAAGATATTATATTACCTAATTTAGAAATATGTGGATCAGAGCGTACTCGTCGGAACCAAATTGGAAAGTGACGGCGGAAGCAAAATTGTGTCTTGAAAGGGCCCCGGCGGAGTGTTTAATTTGGTAAAATTGAATCCTAATCTAGTGAGAGAGAAACTAAATTAGGAAATATGATCAATTATGGCAGTCAAGTGCCTCGCATGCGGGGGCGGATTAGGGTTAGATTGCCCATGAGTGTAAAACCCGAGTGAAAACGGTTCAATTCAGATTTCAATTCAATTCTGTCTCCCTCAAGCATCATGGCAGACGAACCACGTTCAAAGACTCAACCAAGATCAACAACAAATGTTAGGTCAAGAACAAGTCCTCCTCCTAACGAACATGATCAAAGACCACCAACGAAGAGAGCAAGAAAAGCTATCAATTGCGAACCTTGTAGAAATTCAAAACTCAAGTGTGATAGGTTAGTGCAATAACTTCAATGCTAGCCATTACTGACGACAATAGAAATCGACCATGCTCCAGTTGTGTTCTGAGAGGTCAGTTCAACCATTTTATATTTTAAAAACGCACTAAACACCACAAAGGCACTATCGCATTATGCTACCAGGATGCTCGTGGACATGAATCAGACTTGAACCTACGTCCGGATGACCAGTATGATTTTTTTCCTATTCAAACGAGTATCATGTCTTCATGCATAACCAGAAACGCTTCTAGAGTGGATCCAATGCAAGAAATAACTCGCCTGAAGCACAGTGTTTCATTACTCGAAACATTTATCATTGCAAACCACCGAAATCTTCCATTCAAGCGTCCGCTTGACCCTCCATCTTCAGGTCCTCCAAGTCCACTCAAGAAAGAGCCTCAAGATTCTGACCCCGTCGATCGCGACAATGCTCCCGGCATGATCGGCTCCCAGGGACACGGCGGCTTCTACGCTGGCACTACCTCTGTCGTCACTCACCTCACAATGGTCAGTTATCTTCCCTGCATCCATTTATCTTCCTCACACAATCCAGAACGAATCACGCGCTTCAGACGACCCAATGGACAGACACCCCTCCCAAGAAGGCCTCGTCACAGACGAAATCGCTGCTTCCACTCATGAATACGACAGAGACCTCCTAGAGGTCCTTCCAGCACTCGAAACAATCGATGCACTCATAATCTACTACTTTGAATATTGCAATTGGATTTACCGTCATGTAAACCAACCCGCATTCACTTCCGCGTGGTCTCGCTTCAAGAGCGGCTCTTCTCCAGATAGAGTTGTCCTCGCGACTGTCTGCATGATTATGGCTATCGCCGTTCATTACTTGCCTCACCGTGACCCCCTCATCGCACATCTCGCAGATAACCATGAAGAACTCGGAAAACGCTTTTACGACGTCATGCGCACGGCACTCGACCGACATCGTGCAGAGTCCAGAACTTACACCCTTGAACTCGTCGAATGTCTGCTCATCCGCTCTCACTATCTAAATCTCAGCAAGACAGATAGTGAGGAGATTTGGGCAATTCGTGCCGAATTAGTCAGCATGGGCCTCGCAATGGGCCTACACCGCGACCCATCTAGGTGGAGAATGAACAAGGAGCTTGCAGAGAGAAAGCGTTGGGCATGGTGGCATATCATCTTACTCGAACGGTGCGTTCCTTCGTTTCTCTTACGTACACGCCTAATTCTTCCCAGATGGCAAGCATTCATGTTTGGTCGTCCTCTTGCCGTAGCTTCCCACCACTTTGACACCCAGCTTCCCTCCGTTTCCCCCATCACTCCCACAAACCCACCACAACCACGTCTCTACGCCCCAAATCTCGCTCTCTTTCGCCTCGCCTACGTCCTAGGCGATATCATGGACAGCGCCGTCTCGCTTCGCTCAGTGTCATACGACACGATTATGGCACACGATAAAGCACTCGCCAACTGGATGGACACCTTACCCCCGGAGCTTGATCTGGACGAATTTAGAATAGCACGCGCCCTTGCAAGTCCAGACACCGTCACGAGAAGATTAGGTGTACAAAGTGTCATCATCCGAACAAGCTACTACCACATCCGCTTTACCCTCCACAGACCATACGCCTCCGCATCCCTCACATCCTCCCCAAGTGACAAAGACAAGCACGACAAATCCGATAAAGACCCCAAAGACTCCGCCAAATCCGAACGTCAAGCCAACAGCCTCGATATAGCAGTAGGTAGTGCCGACAAACTCATCACCCTCGTCGATCACGCTCGCCCAGACTTTCTCGCAAACGCCAGCCTGGCAGTACCAGGCCACATGTCCTGGGGCCCCTTCCACGTATTCAGCGCTGCCATGTTCTTCTCCTTCCAACTCATCTCAAATCCGAACCAACCAGGCGCAGGCCTCTTCCGTGCAAACATCAAGAAAGCACTCGGCACTCTCGATTTAAGCCGCGGACAAGCAGTTGCAGACCGCGCACTCGATATCCTAGGCGCCCTCCAACCCCTCTATGAAATCGGATTCGCAGACATGGAAGCAAGCGAACGCGAAGGTGTTAAAGGACGTGTCCTCGGCCTCGTCAAAACCCTCGCATTCCCTTATCACGACCAATCGCGTTCGTCACGGAGCGGAGCGGGCGATAGCCCCCACAACTACTCAGGCGGCAGTCCAAGCGGTTACCTAGGCAGCCCAGGGGGCGGGTACGCAGCTGGGAGTCCTAATAATGGCGTAGCGGTTTTTGGCGGAAGCCCGAGCGCGAGGAGGAATAGCGTGGATTACCCGCCTCACACGCATACGGCCCAACCGCGGTACGTGCCGCCTAATACGTCCCCGCCCTATCCGTACCCTGAGAATAGGGGATATAGTGATGTGAGGGGGTCGTATGAGGGTACGAGGTATGTGGATGGGGCTTCGAGGACAGTGCCTGCTTCTGGTGCTACGGCTTCGACGACGACGAGTGCGTATTCGGATCCGCCGCCTCCCGCGCCTGCGCGAAATCCGTATCCGCCGTCAGGGCCAGGACCAGGGTCAGGGTCAGGGTCGACGTCTGGGACTGGAAACCCGTACCCCGCACCACCACCGCCTGCGCCATCACAGACACAACCATATTCTGATTCTGTACGATCGTATCCACCTCCATCTGACGGGAAGCATCTTCAAGCGCCCTACCCTGACGCACGACCCTATCCCGCGCAAGGCAGCATAGGAGGGAGCAGTTCGACATACCCTTATGCATACCCGACGTCAGTTGAGGAAGATTCGATGTGGGGAGCGTCGTTAAGCCAAGCAGAGTGGGCGCGGTTTTTAGATGTCATGCAGCGGCCTACAGGGGATAGGGGATGAGACTTGGACATGGGCATTAGCAGAGGGACGCACCACACGTAATCAACCGCCTCGCTGCTCGCTATGTAAGATCACGACACTAAACACGACTACTACGCCGCAACGCAATGCGACGCCATATGTACGTTTTCATTTTCATTTTGGATTTAGATACCTCTACCAAACCTCTACCTACCTGGCATTTTTGCATCGCACTTTCTGGCTATCTGACGCTGCATTCTTAATTATCTCCCATGCTCATATAAGCATCTCTCATGCGCATCCCATCCCATCCCATGTCCATCATATACGCGTAGTTCCCTTTCTTTTTTTGTTTGGTTGTGTCATCGAATGGCGACCGCATGATTTAAACACCGTGTACTTTTGTATTCCCCACATCGAGTGATATCGCATTCCCCACACACACACACATGTACACCGACGCCGAGCGATAGTTCCCGTTCCCCACACCGAAAAACTATTCCCCACACACATACCCTCTCTGGTCTTGTTCTGCCCTTGAAGCTGAAGCTTGACCCTCCCATCTAACTCCATCGAACGACGACCCCCCATCCCGTTCCAACTCACCCCCCAACACAAACCCGTTACCCAAGTCTTACCCACCGCACGACGACCCTTGTACACGTGTCCGATCCTCTCGCTTGATGTACGACATACCTACTACCTAGTTACCTAGTTTTTTTTGGTTCTTCTTAACAATACATACTTACTGCGTTTTTTCTGTGTATTGCCTTTTTGTGTATTGTATAACATGCATCCGATGTATCCATGAATTGAAAATCCTCTGGAGGATGGTTGAATTTCTTTGCATATATTCTACCGCTCCATCATGATTTGAGAGGGAACGGACTTTTGACAATATCTGGGATACGTGTCAAGGCTACCGTGACTGCGGGGGAAATACATTATACATATGCAAGCTCAATTTCAACGGCGCCAAGTGCCAGGTTCCATCATGGACGTAAATTTGCAACTGAGATCTCGTCGGAATGCAAGTGTACGTTAGTTTCTTCAAGCGGCCATCACGTTCCGTTCCTTTCAAGTAGGTACAAGTCTAAAAGGTGTCATGAGGATAGGAGACGGGTTGTCTTATCGTGCCGGAGGGGGCATGGGTTTCGAGAAGGCTTCATCTCCGAATTCGAAGGGGGGACTAATGAATTTGGAATTTAGAATCACCATGTTTGTGGAATCAAAGAATCCAGATGTTGCGTACCAATTTATGTAGCAAGAGAATCGCGAGTCCTACTCGATGGCGTGGCTGGCCGTGCACACCCTCAACGTGTATAACCAGCCCCGCTAGTATGATTTTAGCTAGTATTTAGATCCGTCGACAAAGATTAATCAACAAATGTGTTTTCAAGGCAGTGGCTTCTCATGAGACAGATGCAGGGGGCTCTACACCAAAACCAGCGTAAACACAGTCCATCTTCACATCCGGCAGCGGACGATCGCTTGATCCTGTATGAAACCTTCAATTGATTATCCTCGTGAACATGTAAGTACCCTACTGGCATGAAAATACGGGATTTGATCCTGCTTGTGGCCCCACTACATCACAGGCGATCACTCATCTACGAGGTTGGCGAGCGTCTGGATATGCCCATATGTGGCTGGCTAGGGGCCGCGTTGCCGGCGCAGCGAGAAGAGAGTAAAGAAACAGGCAATTACAAAGAGCGCATAAGTTCCATATCTACAAGAGTGTGTGAGAATGTTGTAGCGGTTTTACATGCACAGTAAGTGCGAACCTGTGCAGCGTACGTGCCTACCACAAACTTTTCTACTGTCTCGTCACTGGCCGAGCCATACACAAAGAAAGAAAGCCCAAACATCCAGTCTGTTATTGTCGATGATGTTCAATAATACCGATTAAAATAACTAAATGTGAACAATTCATGTAGGAAAGGTTTTGTGAGGAGAAGTACAAAACATACTGGATGAGTGAAAGTTGACTTCAGCAGGTTCGTCACCACTCGAATCCATTTCTTTCTAGTAGCGCATCTCCACTGTCTTTCATCTCGGATGACATTCGCAATGAGCTACGAGCAACCCAGCCCAAGCGTCAACGGTGCCTAGACAATTGCCAGGTTGACGAAGATCAAGATCCACCCTTGTATATTGAGGTCCGGAATAATATACGCGATAGAACTGGGATTCCTATTGGGAAAGAACGACCACGTTGGCAGCGGAGGGTTTGTTGTCATTCTAGTGCTGGGGTACTTGTCCCAGACGTACATGATAAGTGCGGCCCACCCTGCGTATGCTACAACAATCCCCCGAAAAGATATGTCGACTTTTCGGACGCTGGGATGAGCATTCCACGCCGAGTGCTGTATTTCTGACAGCTTCGCTGGACTTTCATCCACATCCAGGTCAGACGCACAACGTATGCACCAGAAAGTAGCCGGGGCCAATTGCGCGTGGTGGACCAGCCTGAGTGCAGGGGTCAAGTCAAGAGGTGGAGGACGGCCATGATGCCACTAAGCAGGGCACCATTAAGGTTATACCATCCACAAACTGCAGCCAGAAGACGCAGATTGCAAGTCGAGACTCTGAGACTAAGGCAGAGCACAATGAGATGCCGTGTACGAAGCCTATGGACTCGGTGCATAATGCAACGATCAAGTTTAGTATCATGGCTAGTATCTCCCTCTGCCTGAGGTCAAACTGAGTTATGGGGATCATATCAGTCACGGTTACTACTCCCGAGACTCCATGGGGCGTGATGGGCGCACCTTCTGACCGCAGCTCGTGAATGGTATAACCCTAACGGCGCCCTGTTTAACGGTATCTTGGCTGTCTTCCTCATCATATCATACAGCTCGGCCTCATTCATCGTATGTCTCAACAGTCAAGCCCACTATTCTCCTCAGAGTGTTGCCATCGCAGGGTTGCCTCTCCTCATTTTGGGCATCGCACTCCTCCTCCAGGTGATGCTCGCAGTGTCAGGGATGTGGGCTGTCAAAATATTGACGTGGAGCTCGTCATGTACATCTGGGACAAGACTGTGTACTCTTTCAGTAACATAGTGTCCGGGTACGGCAATGCTCTGACCCTAGAAACGTGGTCGTTCTTCCCCAGCGGGCAATACATCCAGTATAGTTCGAGCGGTGTTATGCTGTTCTCATGGATGAACATGGCAGCTATCCAGGTGCCATTGACACTTGGGCTGCATTGCTCTGAGCTCATCGCAAATGTCATTCGGGACGAAAGACAGTGGAGATACGCTACCGGAAAGAAAGGACTTACAACGGCAACGAACCCGGTGAAGACGATTTTCGCTCATCCCATTTGTCTCATACTTTTCGTCGCGAAGCCTTTCCTGCGTGAGTCACTCACGCCTCGTTTTCTTTATCGGTGTTATTGAACACCATCATCGACGATCATAGACTGGATGTTCGGGTTTTCATTCAACTTAGGTAATAGTGCCGAAGACGGGCAACTGGCCGACTTGGAGGTATCCATGTTCACTGCCCAGGTTCGCCTATGTAAACTGCTACAGCATCCTGACAAACCTCGTGCAGATCTAGAACTTATGCACAGCACTGTTTATATTCGCCTGCTTCTTCACTTTTGTCGCACTGCGCCGACCGCGTGGCAAGTCGTTTATCTTGTTCTTATATCATTCATATCTGGGACAACTTTTAGCAGAGATACGTTCAACTCGACCTTCAAGCAATTTCTGAAACGTTTTTTTTCCACACTTATGTCTATTCAGAGTGAGACTTTATGTAGGACAGTACTATCCTTGGAGCGTTGTGTTTTTGGTCGATGGTACGTCGTTTAGTTGACTTGCAAAGTTATACTTTAGACTGTTCCGCCCCGAAGTGAGCACCATAACCTGGGATTCAAATGTTTACCAGGCATGAATATATGTATTTAGTAGAAACATTCGGACGCTAACGACTATTCTCCAAAATGCCTGTGCTCGCTGCTCCGCCACCGAGGTGAAACGGAACCCTCCTGAAAATACCGTCTGCGACTCTCCGAGTTCAGTATGACATCGCTGGTGTTTCGAAGTATATATCATGCTCAGTTCAATCTCTCTCTCCAATCTCTACCCTCAGCAACTAAAGTGTGGTTCCATCAAGTTCAGGTGCCATTGGAAGATCCTTCATTCCAAATGGCAGTTGGTAATCTGCGAAGTGCTAGGCATATAGAGAATTCTAGCCTTGCGAATCCCGCGCCCCGCTCGGTAGCGAAAGCATGCTGTTATGCATTATACAGTTCATTCTACCAGACCTCGCAGCAAGAGTGGACCAGATGGGACATTGGACGGCAGAATTGCTCCTCGATGCCAATAACGTGGCTGGCAAACACGGATTCTAGCCCCTCCTCTCCTTCGACTTGCAGTCTTGACCTCCACCCTCACAAGCCTCCTAGGCTGTATGATCGGTTCTGCGAGTTGCTGAAGTTGAGTGATAGTGGGAATTGGCGATACTGTGCCTGGATGCCGGTGGTGGTTGAAAAATGTGCGCCGGGACTGCAGACACTGTTGTTGTCAGAAATTTGAGTGCTACATGTGAGCAGTGTTGGAGTTGCGGTTGGGTGAATAAATGATGCTGAAATGTACGGTCGGGTCACGGGTGTGGTTTGGTGAATGGATGGTGCTAAGTGCAGATTCGAGGCGCTGCTGGGTTCGGGAAGCGCTATCGAAGTGATAAAACAGCAGAGAGACATCGGAAGATGCTGTGCGGGTGCAGCAGGATAACACATCGACACGGTGGGGCATGGACATCAGAGGGCGCAGGAAGTAGAATGTGAGAGTACCGGATGCGAAAACTTGAAAGACCTACCATGGCCACTCATTCAACTGTACCTCTTTCACCCATCTGTGCACACCATGGACCTCCCTGACCAAGTACCGGGACAGATCCTAGACGCCTTAGGTGAAAGCATGGCGATGCAGGGGGATTTAGTATACCTCCCATGAACTACGGCTATCCAGGACTAGTGCCGCAGGGAGAGCAAGTACTGACATCAGCACTTCCAGATGTGAAGGCAGGAGATACTGTCAAATTGTCAAAGACTGTGGTTCTGCTGCTCATTGAAGGGCTCAACTGGTGTATCACAGAGCTGGATAGTGTCACTGACACAAAACAAGTCTACTGCATCTTTAAGCTGTGTTGCAGGAGGAGTTGTTGCAGAGGCTGGAGGTCACAGCATGAATAAAGATACCCGATCGAGTACTAGGTAGACAACTTTCGAGACTTTCGAGTAAAGCTGAAGCTGAAAGAAGAGACTAAAAGTTTGTCCAGGTTGATGTCATGAACTTTAGTTTCGCACACCTCTGGACCAAACATCCACCATAATTTCACCTGGCCCAAGAACAAGCAAAGCCTCCTGAGGCCACGCCCAGACAACGTTTAGACCGTCGTAGGAACGACTATATTCCTTCTATATCCAGGCCTGACTACGGGAAACTACACTCAAGTCCCAAAAATATGACCGTCATACCCCAAGCCATGGGCCGAATAATTAACGATTCATTATGTATCCTGACAACCGTCAGCCATCATCTAATCTTAGCGAAGCGCTCCCGGAGGACCGCTCGTGACCTAGTTTTGCGGGGACACGAGTGAGCACTGACATCTTTGTGTCGTTCTGTCATGAGGAGAAAATGCCTGTCGAATCATGGTAGCTGCAATCAGAACGCGGGAGTCATCAAAAATACGCCGCCTGGCTGGGGACTCGGATATCTAAACCGACTGTGTGTGAGCAGTTCCCAAGAGCTGGAGCTGACCTACTGCCTACAGAATGATGAATCTTTGGTGTAAAACCCTATGACATACCCAACGCTTCATATGGACCTGATTTTCTTCTTGTCGTGTCATCGGCACCGAATTCACGCAATCATCAAATTATAAGGAGATCAGGAATAGGCAACTTCTGGGCCTGTTCGTTCTGATGCACACGTGGTGCTCAGGAATACGTATCATGCATCGTCATCTAGTTCATACGAGAGACATTGATAAAGCTGCCTTCATATGCTTTTGAAATCGTATTTCTTGTAACCATGGATCCTGTCTTTATCGCTGCTGGTTTTGTGGCTCTAGCGATTGTCTATGGGGTGTACCGTCGATACTCTTATATCTCTTTGGCAGACGTTCCTGGCCCAGAGTCTGCATCGTTTATCATGGGTATGTCTATATTAACTCTTGCTGGATCCCTCTGCTGCTGATATGACCACCAGGAAATCTGAAAGAACTCTACCAAGGTCAGGCAGCGGAGGCTGACTTCAAGTGGCAAGCTCAGTTTGGGAATATCGTTCGCTTCAGGGGGTCTTTTGGCGTATGTAATGAAATCCACACTTGCGGCATACACTTCCTGATCCTCTGCCGACTCATAGGAAGACCAATTGATGATTTCCGACCCAGCCGCCCTGCAATACATACTTGCAAAGTCGGGCTATCGGTTTCCCAAACCGCATGATCGCCGCACCCTCTCCCAGATGATGAACGGAAAGGGAATTTTCTCGGTGGATGGTAGGTCTCTAGCCACCAAATCCAAACATCGAATGTTAACTTTTGAAGGTGACGATCACAAACGACACAAAAAAATAATGCTCCCTGGATTTGGTGGACCGGAGTCCAAAGCCTTCTTGTTATTATTCAAGAACTGCGCCGAGTCTGTAGGCATCAAAGTCACTCAATACTCTCAACGCCCGTCAACAACTTAAATTCTCACAGATGTGCAACAAATGGATGGAGATCATCAGCCCCTCTAAGGAGAGGTCAGTAGTGTTCAATATTCCTGCTTGGGTGTCTCGCGCAACGTTGGATGCTATCGGTGAAGGTACGTGCTATCTAGGGCACACAAGCACCTTTTTCTCATCTCTTTTCCAGCTGCTTTTGATGTCCGCTTCAACTCCATTGACAATGATGAAAACGCTCTTGCGCGCTCATACAGGGGTCTAATGTCAGTCTTGACTATTGCCAAACATCTGGCTTTCCCTTAACTGATCTGAATTGAATGTAACTTCGTTGCACTAGGACTGACGTATTTGGATCCCCGTCAGATGGGATGTTACTTTTTCAGGATATTTCAAAGTATATCCCACCTCGGATTCTCAAATACTACATAGAGATGGGCAAAAGCCCACGTATCACGCGCATGCGCGAGACAGGTAACCTGGCGACATCTGTCGCAAAGCAGTTGGTGAAAGACAAGGCAGAGATGCTATTGGGGGGCAAGGGCAGCCGAGATATCTTTAGCTTACTTGGTGAGTCGTCGTTCTCAACAGTCTCATTCAGATCTAGGCCATCTGATTATAGCAGTCAAAGCCAATATGGACACAAATGCAAAGGCGAAGTTAACGGAAGAAGAACTGTTTGCTCAGATGCGGTGGGTCCGTTCCGTTTGTCGTAATTGCATAGCTTTCTGATCACGGATTGTTATAATTGCACAGTACTATCCTCGCCGCAGGTCATGAGACGACCTCGAACACTATCAGTTGGGCGCTTCTCGAGCTAGCCAGATGGCCTGATATCCAATCCCGTCTACGGGCAGAGATATGGGAAACAGAAGCCACTGTGCACGCACGCGGCGATGTCAACTTCACAATCGCTGATTTTGACGCTATGCCGTATACTGCTGCTGTGATAAAAGTGCGTTACGTCGTGCGAGCAACATTTGAGTTGTCTTGACGTTGCACTTGTCATTGTAGGAAGTTCTGAGATTTTGTTGTGTCGCATATCATGTACACCGATGCGCCAGCCAGGATGACGTCCTTCCGCTGTCACAGCCAATCACCACGCGATCTGGGAAGGTCATCCGTGAGCTACCAGTTCCAAAGGGTACCCGAATTGTTGTATCAATTGCAGCGTATAACCGGTAGGAGGTTCCACATAGCGTCAACATACTTTCTTCTGATGGTGCGCTCATATCGGTTAGAAACAAGGAGCTCTGGGGCGAGGATGCGCACCTGTTCAATCCGGATAGATGGCTCAATGGCACAGCAAAAGAGAAGAAGGTGACGTCAATAGGAGTGTACTCCAATCTGTAAGCGTTGGTCTCTATCTTGCAACACGCATGAACCCCAATTTGTTTCTAGAATGACATTCCTCGGAGGAGTCAGGTTTTGTGTCGGATGGCGCTTCGCGTGAGTGTTAACGGGTTGTCCGGTAACGGTGGAGTAAATCTAATATGAACATCCACTTAGGGTGATCGAACTCCAGGCATTTCTTACAGAGATAGTTGGAAAGTTTGAGTTCGCCCCGACTGATAAAACCGAACTTATTCGGCGGGAGGCTTGCTTGGTGATGTCTCCAACAATAGAAGGTGAAGTTGGAAATGGTGTTCAACTGCCGTTGAGGGTTTCACTGGCGCGACACACTGGTAAAGGATGTCAAACTCCGGGATGCAGATAGTTATTTTGTCTGGTTATATCGGTGGCCCAACAGCCACCAGTATTCAAAGATTAAAGTCATGCGCCATTGACAAAGTTGGGCAGTATCTGACACCTGTTAGCTCCTCGAGTTGCGAGTGCGTGGGGCTCCGCTGATCGACGTTATCAGATGTCAGTGGAGCGTGCTGTGCGTTGAGGTGCGGAAGTACTTGAGTACTTGATGGTTCATTGCAACTTCTTGGACTTCTTGATTTGTATTTCTCGCGCGGCACGTTGTGCAGACAAAAAGTTCTTCTAGAGCCCCGCTGATTTACGTCCAGCTGTGATTTTGATGGTATGTAACTATAACATAAGGAACAGAGCGATGACAGAACTGATGGCGGGGTAGGGTAATCAGCGGATGATATAAGATGGCGGGCAGACAGACCTTTGGCGGCTGATGACCGGAAACTCTGAATCCCGAACACAGACGTCTGCGTCAAGTCTGCCAGACCTCACAGACTAGCCAATTTCCGGACTTCCTGAACCCGTCATGGTAAGGTGAGGCCAGTCCTGGTATGCATGATTCCCGAATCCTAGTAGACTCGAGTTCCCAGACACCATGACTTCTCGACGGACTTTCTGTACCAAACGTCCACCATACATCGTGTTCTCCCTAAGTGCGAGGAACGAGCACGTGGTTAGAACGTAGTCTATGCCATTTCGGGTAGGAAATGTGCACGCCTTCTTTCTTCTCCTCGTCACCCAGCCTCCAGTGTTGTAACTGGTGTTTCAATCTTCTAGTTGATTCTGCCTTTAAAAGCAGTAGCAGCAGACCGCAATAAGTGGAAAGCTTAATATTCAGTAATATAACATGGACAGGTTACATTCTGATCCAAGTTTTTTAGTATGCCCAGACTTTATGACCAAATGGTATAGAGTCAGCCACACCAGCATGGTCAATGCCAATGTCACGGAAGCTCAAGCAGTAGAGACTCTCTGCAACATCTGGATAACAACCAATGAAGATTTGTGTCTACAATGGCATCAACAAGTCGTAGAAGACAAACATTTGAATGCTGAGAGGTACCACTTAGCTGAAGAAGAAGCAGAGCAGCAGAAGGCTGTACTTGAACTTGAGGAAGCCACAATGAGAGCAGACAAGAGAAAGAAAAATCGTTTCAAGCATTTGCCAATTCCAGTGTGACCACATCCACTTGTCAACAATGAAGAAGCTTTAGTTTCTGAGTTCGCCTTGTGAAAGTTGGACAAGGGTCATTATGTCGAACTATACTATTGGACCAATCACAGTCTTGAGGATGTGATGATCAATTATCACACCTGAGATGACAACAGTATGGTACCTACCAAGGGCGAGAATGGTTCCACAGTCTGGATCAATGCGGCATCATCAAAACCCACCTCAGGAGTCATTCCAGATCGTAACCTAGCACCAGCTGATTTCTCTCAAGCGGTACCACGCATAGTGGCAGCACTAGAAGATCGAGATTGGGCTCAGCAAAGAGTTTTAATGTTAGCGCAGTTTTGGGGAGCTATCATGGTTCATCACTATTGGAACTCCCACAATATGTTGGCTCAGAAGGCCATTCTCTTGTTCCAAGAAGAACAACATCGTGCATGGCACAGTGCCATCACTTTGGCCAAAGGAGCATAGGACATCTCGGTCATCGACGAGATGGCCCTAGCATGCACCTTTGAGTGAGTTTATCAGTCATCTCTCATCCACTCAGACAACCTGAGGCCAAACCCCCAGGTATGTAATTTGTAGCCATTTTGAAGCAACCCATCACTGATTGTTTTTCTTCATTTTAACTCATTGTGATTATCAATGTCATTGATAATTCTCTACATCAGCATTACCTTCTGTCTTGTGTGTTTGCCTTATGCGTTATTGCATGTGCTGTTTCGAAATCTTGCGGTTGCATTGGCATTTATCAATTTGCAATCACAGTCACCTGCATTCTAATCTCATGGCCATTTACCATCAGATTCAGATCCAAGGCAATAGTTCTTGAAGTGGGCAGGCAGAAGCATATCGTACCATTCCTTTGCACGCCTCGCAATGGGCAGCTGCAGTGGTCTGTCTCCCAGATGGAGACTTTTGCATCGACACATGTGTCACCTTTGGCATGGGACCCTCTGCAGGTGCCTATGGCCACATCGCAGATGCTGGCATTGAATTACTATGAGCTGCAGGTCTGGGTCCACTTGCCAAATGGGTGGATGACCACATCTTTTTTTGCATTTGACGAGAACATCTCCTCAACTACAATGCACACAGGAGCGCCATACATACTCTCCTGGATGTTGGAGGATGAACGCAAATGGGAGGGCAGTTGTGGCACAAAGGCAAGGTGTTTGAGGACAACAGCTTCGAAGTCCATGCCAAAGATTGTAGGTTCCCACTTCATGACCTATCACAATCCTCCTTGCGGGCTGACATTGACGCAGAATTTGCATTTGCCTTTGCAGACATTGATCGCGCCTCCTTACCATTGGGTATCCCTTGGGAACCGACCAAGGATTCAGTCTTCACCTTTGTGGTGTTATACCTGGGCCTCGTCTGGAACCTCATCAAACTTTCGGTCGAATTATCGTTGGCAAAGAAGAATAAGTACTCTGCAGCCATCGCAGAATGGCAATCAAAGCCCATGCACATTCTCCTCAAGGTCCAACAGCTCTATGGCAAACTACTTCATTCCTGCCTGGTGGTCCCAGCAGGACGCACTTACCTCACCACATTGGAAACCATGCTCAGAATCTGCACCAATCATCCTTTCATGCCACACCACTCCATTCACCACCTCAATGATGACCTCAACTGGTGGCGAGCCAAGCTTGCACAATCATGTGTCCATCGCTCAATCTCACAACCCTCCTCTCCCATCAACATTTGTGCATTCTCTGATGCCAGCATGTCTGTCAGAGTTGCAATTACTCTGAATGGGTATTGGCATGCCTGGACCCTGCATCCAGGGTGGTCAATGCTTGATGGCCAGTGAGACATCGGATGGGCTGAATGTGTGGGATTCGAGCTCCTCATCCATGCCATCCTTAACGGCCATGAAGTGCATTCCTCCGACCACTATCATGTGTTCTGCGACAATCAGGGAATTGTTGATGGCTGGAAGAACAGTCACAGCAGGAATTGGGCCACTAACCTCATCTTCTGTCGAATCCATCAACTCCTTGACTCAGTTGGGAGGGGAACTTCATTCCATCTGTCCTATGTTGCCAGTGCCAACAACCCTGCAGATGGGCCCTCTAGAGGCATCTTTCCCCCTTGTCGTTTCCTCCTTCCACCCATTATCCTTCCTGGCGACCTCTCAAAGTTCCTCGTCGATGCTGACCTATCAGCCACACCCCTTAATACCCTCATCATCAATCAGAACCTGAGCTCTGATGAGCTAGTTGTCGAGGTGGACAACTGGAACTGGGGCAACCAACTCTGCAAGTTCCACAATGCTTGGCAGGACTAGAACCTCCCATTTCCTTGACACTCCACCAATTGTTCCAATGACCACGGTAGCGCAGCCATGTCCCTACAAGCCTACACTAACCCCATCAACTTCAGTCCTGAGACCACACTGTCTGGCTTGGGATCAACTAAGGTTATGGGTACCTGCAGTATCACATTCATGCTTAGATCACACTGGAGCTGTGGTTGCAATCTCAGAGGATGACCTAGACCATATACTTGTTGTCATTGTGCACTCACACGCCCCAAGCATGAGAGAGACTTACAGCTCTGGTTTGTTAGTTTTTCATGTATTTTGTGATTCACACAACATCGCCAAGATACAGCAGTGCCCGGCTCCCTCGCTCCTCATCCTCGCCTTCATCACTTCTTGTGCGGGGATGTACTCTGGAAGAACATCTGAAAACTATCTATATTCAGTACGTGCATGGCATTTGCTGCATGGTCAGCCCTGGTTGGTCAATCACGACCAAGTCTCATTAGTGCTGGAGGGTAGCAAATGGCTTGCACCAGCGACTTTGACTCGACCAAAATGAACCCCATTCACAGTGGATCTCATCAAAGACTTACGCTCCATGCTAGATCTTGACACACCACTTCATGCAGCAGTCTATGCATGTCTCACTACCTCCTTCTTCACCATCACAAGGACAGGAGAGTTCACAGTACCGACACTGCGGGGCTTCGACCCATTGGTACATGTGAAAGTAGGTGACATAAGGAACGAGAGAGATCGGAACAGTTTCAAGGTGAGTCTTTTGTCTGCCACATACTAAAGTCGCAATCACTGGAGAAGAGGTGTTCTGGGCAGCACAGTCAGGTGTTGTTGATCCTCAAGTGGCACTCACAAACCACCTTGCCATCAACAAATTGTCCTCGATGGACACACTCTTCAGCTGGAAACATCATGCAGGCACACAACCCTTGACGAAGACCCAGTTCCTCAAGTGTCTACAATCAGCAAGTGATCGTTTATGTGGCGACTCATTGAAAGGGCATGGGATCAGAATTGGTGGGACTTTAGAGTATCTACTATGAGGCGTGCCTTTCGAATCGGTCAAAACCATGGGCTGCTGGAGTAGTGACGCTTTCCTCATCTATCTTCAATGACACGCTGTAATCCTAGCGCCATACCTGCAGGATCGTCCAGTGCTGGAACTTTTCATGTGCTATGCGCTTCCATGAAGTAACAACATTGTAAGTTTTGCATAACACCTTTTTTTTTTCAGGGTTGAGCTCATGCTAGATGCGTTGTCACACTCCTTATATTCAGGGTATCTCAGCTCGCTCTTCCCCATTTTAAGAAAGGCCCCAAGACTTGTTTCGGTCAAAAACCCTGTGGGTTTTACCCAAAACTCTTGTTAAAATTTGTTTCACTCTATTGAACTTTTGTTACTAGCTATTCTCGTGACTTGAAACTTATCATGTTCTCATTCTCATAGTGTCTTAATCCATTGAACACATTTCTCACAAGATAAGCATAGATCGTGTTCTCCCTAAGTGCAAGGAACAAGCATGTGGTTAGAACGTAGTCTATGCCATTTCGGGTAGGAAATGTGCATGCCTTCTTTCTTCTCCCCATCACCCAGCCTCCAGTGTCATAACTGGTGTTTCAATCTTCTAGTTGATTCTGCATTTAAAAGCACCCACCCTCCTCTCCCTCGAAGCAGCTCAATGAGTAGATTATTAGTTATCATGTCAGATCTTGAACATCAGAGGGCATTTTATGAACATATGATATTAAGCAATGCCCACCTAACTCACTTTAAAATCAATTGAATGGAAAAGGGTCTTGACTAGAATCATAGTATGGTACCATGGTTTCCACATGTTCCCCTTATGAACTAATTGTCCATGGGTCCCATATATACAGGTTCTCCTTGGTTTTTTCCTCTCCTCACTTTCCTGTTTTGCACCATGGCAGGAGAAGATGCTCATCACACACTCATATCTGGAGAGAGTCTTGCAGCAAACCCTACAGCAACTATACCAGCAGGACCATTGGCTATTACACTAGCAGCAACCTTGGTTGTTGGAACATCCCATACCTTTGCTAGCTTAGACGTTTGGAGTTTTGACAGTTTTATCATCCCAGGGCCTCATGAGGCCCTGGGGACAGGAGACACAATCATCGTATATCATCATGTCTTCAACTCTTTCACTTTTCCCCTACCACTACCAATTTTCACAGCTGTTCTAGCTAGTATAACAGCCTGGGGCAGCAAACATGTAGAATTTAGCATCAAGGACTTAATAACTGGTGCATTGCTTTCAAAAACCATCAAATTACCTTTAACTATCATTCAGTTTTCCATGATGCAACTTCTGCAAAGTTATCTTTTCCCTTTCCCTTGATCCTTCACTCCCCCAGCTCCTGTGAGCCAGACCTACACCCCAGCTTTGAAATGATTGAAGAGTACCAGAACTGTAGGGGACTGTTGAAGGTTCAACAGCTCTGCTAGGCTGCAGAGCAAAAGAAAAAAAGAGGGCTCTACCTCTGGGGTGAGAGGAAGGCCTACTGACTCTCTTTATTGTTGGTCGAAGTGCACCAGGCGATATGTTCGACCCTTAAGGGAAGCAAGGAAAGCAAATCCATGAAGTGACACCAGGTCAACTCTGGTGAAGTGCGCTGGAAGTGCACACACAGGAATGTCGAGCATGTAAGAGCACAAAGCGTGGGAATGGAGCGCATGTGGTGCGCAAACGTGTAAAGACTGGTGAATGATGACTAGTGATAATGGACTGATGCTGATGGCTAGGGTGATGACTCTGATGGATGCTAACTCATGATAATTCTTACTGCTCAATGCTACTAGACATGATGGTGGTTCCTGTATTCTGTGGTGGTGGTAGGTGTATGAAAAATTTTTCTTTGGCAACAGGTAAGCTGTGCCTAGGTGCGCTCCCAGGGCTTGGAAGCGAATCAGGAGCGCTCTATGTATGTAAGTGAGGTAAATAAAGGGTCCATGACAAAATAATGTATGGTATGATGCTAAATATGAGAATAAACAAGGAAGGACTCACTAGGGAACTGGTTGGATGATGGATGGATGCTCCAGGATGCTGCACAACAAAGTGCGACCAAGTGTGGGAAGAGTGTGCTAAGCACATGCGCAGGAATGTGTCACATAGTGCGGGAATGTGTTGCACCTCTGGCGCATTTTGTGGGAAAGTCATGGAGGGTGAGTTGTACACTGTACCAATCATCGTGAGTCGTAATATGGGCGATATATGCCTGGAGGAATCTCATTCCCTACACCGTGTTCCAAGGGACAGCAATGATCTACCTGTATGGAACACACAGAGGAAACTAGGCTTAAGTAGCTAGTCATAACTTGACTATTTCATCACCTCAACTGACATGATTGACAGATGCTCTATCTTATCAATCAACCACCTTTGATTGCACAAATTCAGCTGTATAATGTACTTCACATGGCCTGACGCATGTCTTTTACAAACCTTTTCTTGAGCTGCTTGGCCCACCTGCCCTCTCAGCTTGCTCTTCCCCATTTTAAGAAAGGCCCCAAGACTTGTTTCAGTCAAAAACCCTGTGGGTTTTACCCAAAACTCTCATTAAAATTTGTTTCACTCTATTGAACTTTTGTTACTAGCTATTCTCGTGACTCGAAACTTATCATGTTCTCATTCTCATAGTGTCTTAATCCATTGAACACATTTCTCGCAAGATAAGCATAGATGAGCATATATAGAACATGATGGAAGGGCTCACATCAGGAAATGTACATATTACTTACGTAATCATGACTTAATAGCACAAAAACAAACTCCTTCAAGGAACTAGGGGTCCACATTGCGAACTTCTGACCTTGCTCCAATGTCCAGGCAATTGGCCGGTGCTTTGGATTTTTTTAAATATTAATATTACTACAGTTTTGAGTTTCTAGATTTTAGACCTAGGTTGTTTTCTACAATGAATCTTTTATCTCACGTGATTACACAGCATGATGTTCATATCAGGTGACTGACAGATATAATGTGACTCGATGATTTGTCAGATGTCCGTTCACTATGTAGACATCATATGAGTTATCATCGCTGTAGCTTCAGTCACCGTTCTCCTAGCAAGCAGTTAATCCACCCACTGAATCCTCCCCTCACGAATCATTGTGCACGCTTCAGATATTCACCCAACTTTGTGTTGAGATGGTTACCGCACACGTCCTTAATGTGGGATACATCACACATGAGGAACCTATCTGCAACTCACTCGGCATCTCAGTATCAAGGAACAGCGAACTTGGAAACAGGGTCACGAAATTTGAGAGCATCTCCCATGAAATATCTTGCACCACCACCTGATTCGAAAGAGAAACTTTGGAGCTTGCATGCCCCAAGTTCTTCATGTCACTATGCATGATACGCATATGACATGGTGAAGAGATGCAGATCATCATACTATCATTCTGGGTAATCTGCAACATGCATGTAATATGCAAAATGTTCAAAACACCTCAATGCACTGCTCAACTCACTTCAAAAAAAATCATGCATATGTAGACTACTTATATATGATGTACTGTCCAAGTAGAATGAAAATTTCTTGCGTGTTGCAGCTGTGAGGGATGAAATAGTGGTAATTTGTAACCATGCAGGAACATAAATTATCCAGATCCCATAGATCCTGCAGGTATATTCCTGAAGTTATACCTGGAGCACAACAATCACCTCGTCAGAATTACAGAACACAATTTCAATAAAGCTCATCCTGTCATTTTAAGATGCTATAGAGGAAGAATTGACGACATGTATGAAAATGTGACAGTAGATAGGAGAGTGTGTAACAAATTCAATCTCCTCTATGGCACACTCGGCAAGTGCACGAAGTCTTGCATTGTTGTCTCCTCTTGCATCATTCTCACATCCTTGTTACAATGGCACCAAACCGCAGGCATACTACCAGTCAGAAGAAAGCTGGAGAAGATGTGATTCGCGAAGCCAACTTCACTGCTGCTATTCAGGCTATCAGAGAGGAGAAGACCAAGAACCTTATTCAGGACCATATCACTAGTACACTCACAATAATTACATGAATCACGATACTTGATGATAATATATTGCTGTATTCATTATTTATCAGAGCATTAAGTTTCAAGCTTCCAGTTCGACGACTCAACGCCAACAGATCGAGAGCGCAGTGCGGAGAGTCAAAGTTGACTGTGCCGGTGCTATGCTGAGGTGTGACTCGACGTGACCATATTTTGCAGATTAGCAGTCAGACCCTGAATTTTCTCGGCTTTCATCCGACACCGCACCACAAAATCCTAAAAATGAGCAAAAATAAGATCTATATAGAGGCGGTACGAATCTACAACACTCTAAATTCATGGAAGATAATATGAAGTGATTGACAAGCTACAAAAGATTTGCTGAAAATGTTGCAGATTACCCGGAATGATAGTAAGTGTAATATTGATGCAAGAGTACTGGTGGGTTTCGCGTATGTGATCATGTGATTTCGCCTAGTGTACTGTGTAAGGCTCCAACTGTTTCGGTCTATTTACTGTTTTAAACTGTTTAAACGGTATACCGTTTATGTCTATTTACTACCGCTGGTATAGACAGTAAGTACATGTATATAAACTGTTTACTCCCTCGTGACACGATGCTGAGATGACGACTATCTAACGAGTCCCCAATAGATATTATATGACATCGGGCTTGCCATCCGACGAGCCGACGACGCAGACCCGAAATATTCGAAAATATGTGCGTGCACATCAATTTATCCGGGCACCTGCTCCTACCACATTCTCGCACTGCAAACTTCACAAAGCATGGCTCAGGCGAATTGCGAGAGTGCTGACCTAGCAAAACTCCATGTTCTCATTGATAACCTTCCCATGCTCTGTAATTCCTTACCTAGTTCTGTCCCGGAGGCAACAGACAGTGATTTAATTCACCGTGTCACTACCACCGTTACTGGCGAAGATCCCTGGCATACTTTCAACCGTCGTTTCGACATTCATCACCTTCTCTCGATGACGAGGATTTTTTTCTTTCATCAATAATTAATTTGCGTCCCGACGGCAAATCCTCCGTAACATCGACGGTACCCATCCAGTCTGAGTTTGAACGCTATGCAATCCTTGCACAGGGTGCCAAGGACTCGAATGCCTTGAATGCACCTCTTATATGGTGGAAGGTACGTATTTTGTTCACTCTGTACTTGAAAAAACTAATTATTATCTATGTAGGATCATTCTCATCAATTCCCAACAATCTCTCGCATTACACGCGATGTCCTTGCCATTCCAGGTGCCATTTCTCCCGTCGAGCGGCTCTTTTCGAAGTCACGACACCTATGCACTGACCAGCGGTCTTCCCTTGCTGCAGCCACTGTCACGCAGTCAATGTGTGCAAAACTATGGATCCGGCAAGGCCTCTTTGATTTCAACAAGTAGTTACTCAATTTTCTATCTGTCTATAAACTGTTTAAACTGTCTACATACTGTCTACATACTGTTTAGGTCTATTTACTCGAAAATCGTAGACATAAACTAAACAGTTGGAGCCTTAGTACTGTGACGGAACCCTTGCCATGACCATTTTTCTATCTCGTGGGCGGCGCTGATATCGTGATGAAAAGTACCAGACAAAGCGGATTGGTGAGTTTCAGTTTCGGTAGATTCGTTGTCGTTCTGAATCCTTTCCTTCTGGCAGCTCGTCACCACTGTTTTACGTTTCGAATCGCATTCGCGTCGCGCAATGAGTTCTGAGCAATGCAGCCCGAGTGTCAACGTCCCTGGACAACTACCTGGTCGAAAAATATCATGATACACATAAGAGATGGTGAAGAATGAAGAGACGGAGATTATCAGAAGCGCAATATTAATGCACGACTCATAGGGTTCGTGGTCCTTGTCATCGACTCAAGTACCGCCGCACTTCCAGATCATAGAAAAACCGCAGACGCGTGAACGACATTTCCAGGAATTTAAGACGTTGACTAGTGATGGTTGATCTGATAAGATTAAGATAACGATTTTGCGCGCTTGGACTCCTTCGAAGATTCTAGAAAGTTCCTATATTCTGAGTCCATGACGATTACGGATTGTATAAAACTACCAGGACAGAGGGGAAGTAACAAGCTGTGAAAGACTACACATAGTCTGAAAGATCTACCTTCACCACAACACCCATCTAATCAAGAATTTTACCAACCTCAATTCAACAAGCATGTCAGATGTGCGTATAACATACCCATCCAAATCGTTGTCTAACAGGACAATTTAACGCGGGCAAACACTTATACAGGTAAATGCGCTGAAAGACCAAGGCAACAAGGCCTTTTCTGCTAAGGACTACGACAAGGCGATCGAGCTATTCACAGCTGCCATCGCCATCGACCCTTCGAACCATGTCCTCTTTTCAAATCGGAGTGCCGCAAAAACTGGCAAGAAGCAGTGGGGTGCAGCACTAGAGGACGCAGAACAGGTGTGCCTTATCAGATTCTGGTCTGGCGTGCTGATGCCTATGCGGTGATGAAGTGTATCAAGCTCAATCAGTCGTGGTCCAAAGGCTACGCCAGAAAAGGGGCTGCATTGCACGGTGCAAGACGATATGACGAGGCTATCGAGGCATATGAAGCTGGTCTTAAGTTCGAGGACAGCCCTGCCTTGCGCAACGGTTTACGAGACGTGAAAGATGCAAAGGGTAGGCTACTCTATCTACCCAGACGAAAACAGTCATTGACGTGCTGTTGAATCCAGGCAGGGATGGTGGATCTGAGTCCTTAGGCCTCGGAAAAATGTTTGCAGACCCAAACCTCATTGGAAAGCTGGCAACTAATCCCCGAACACAAAAACATCTCGCCGACCCAGCGTTCGTGCAAAAGGTAGATCCTCTCCTAATATCCCGTTCAATATAACTAAAAGACCCCCCAGCTTAAACTCTTCCAACAAAACCCCGCACTCGCTGATTCGTACGTTTAGCTCAAAACCCCCTGTTTCTTGGCAGCACTCAACCATTCTCTATAGAGCTCTCCAGTCAGACCCCCGCATGATCGACGTCCTTGGTGTCGCCATGGGTATTGATATGCAAGGTTTCTCGCGCGACGATGGCCTTGATGAGCTCCCGCCCGGTTTCAAGCTTCCTCCCCCAAAGGCTCGAACACCTCGGTCGCCATCTGCATCCACATCGAAGACTCCACCAGCTCCAGCTCCAGCTCCGGCACCAGCAGCAGCCCCCGAGCCCGAGGACGTCGAAATGACAGATGAAGACGCTGAGGAGGCCAAAGCCAAGGCAGACGCACTCGGTGCAAAGGCTCGGGGTGCAGAGCACTACAAGGCACAACACTTTTCCGAAGCTGCTGAACACTTTAAGAAGGCTTGGGATCTGTGGCCAAAGGACATCACGTTCCTCGGTAATCTTGGTGCTGCATACCTTGAGGCAAAGGAGTACGATCAGTGTATCGCAACGTGCGAGCTGGCTGTTGAGGAGGGCCGAGGAGTGAGTTGTTCTCTTCCACACCAGACGTCTTCTAACGCAGGATTCAGCTTCGCGCGGACTACAAGATTATTGCCAAAATTTTCGGCCGTATCGGGACTGCGTACACCGCAAAGAACGACCTAGTATCGGCGAAGAAGTACTTCCAAAAGTCACTCTCTGAACACCGCGACGCTACCATCCTCGCAAAGCTCCAATCCACTGAGAAAGCCATCGCCGAGGCCGAGCGCCAGGCATATATCGACCCCGCTCAGTCTGCCGTCGCGCGCGAGGAGGGTAATGCTGCATTCAAGAATGGTGACTTTGCAAAGGCCGTGAAATTGTACGAAGAGAGTATCAAGCGTGATCCCTCCGATGCAAGAGGATACAACAACAGGGCAGCAGCGTACATGAAACTTATGGCACTGGCTGAAGCGCTGAAGGATGCCGACAAAGCAATCGAGGTCGATCCCGCATTCGGTGGGTTTTGATTGCGTCCGATTCTCCTCAGGCCATTTTTGAACATTGCTTCAGTCAAGGCATATATCCGGAAAGCTACGATCCTGCAAACGATGCGCGACTATAGTAAGGCTCTTGAAGCTCTACAAGCCGCTTCGTCAGCCGACACCGCCAATGCACACGCGCAAGAGATTCAAGCTCAGGAGTTCAAGATCCAGCAAGCCTTGTTTACTCAGCGTGCCGACGAGACGGAGGAACAGACCCTCGAGCGAGCCATGAAGGATCCCGAAGTTGCTGTAAGTGCTATCCGATCTTGCTATGTGGTTGTGGTTTTAACCAAACATTCTTGTGCAGCAAATCATGGGCGACCCCGTGATGCAGCAAATTTTGCAGCAAGCGCAAGGCAATCCTGGCGCATTACAAGATCACATGAAAAACCCTGTCGTACGCCAGAAGATTATGAAACTCATCAACGCAGGAATTATCAAGACACGGTGATTTGCGCGGTCATGCATTCACGTTTGAATCACACTACTGTAGTTGTTTTGTTTGTACCAGTTCAAATATTGTTTGCTTTATCAACATGTTCAACTACTGTTCCTTGACTGTTCCCGCAAACTTAACGGTACATGCCTGCCTGCCTACACCGACTTAAATCAAGGTGTCGCCCAAGAGTAGTCCAGCATTTGCACATCCCTGAACAAGTCCTGCACGCTCTTTACCCGAGAAACCCATTCCTCCTTCGTCGCTAACCCCTCAACATCCACCTCATGCCAAGCCTTTACACTTGCATGGACCTCCTCAAGTGTGCTGAGCCCCACCGCGACAGGCACCCTGATCTCCCTCGCCCGCGAAAACGTATACTGCAGCGCCAAGTCGGGGAGACCAGCCCCAGACGCATCCCACTCCTCACTGAGTTGTACAGCCCTCTTCGCGGCCTCCCTGATCTCGACCGGCGCTGGGTGCACCTGAACAGGCGAAGGCCGCAAGAGAGCCATGGCTATCGGCGAGGCAGTGATAACTTGCTTCACTCCCGCGCGTGGCCCGAATGCAGGTTTGAATTGCTCGAGGGTGCTATTCTGGAGGGTGAGGTGGCAGTAAGACATCATGAGGTCCAGTGGCTTCCCCAGGCGCTTCTGGATGAGAATTGCGAGACGCAAGAGAGTTGGAAGTGGGAAGCCTGATACGCGCTTATCATGAGAAAATTGATAGGGTCAGATCTATAGTGCACTCACCACTGATCCCGACGCGCTTGATGACGCCTCTGTCATCTCGTAGCTCAAAAAGCTTCTTCACAGCCGACAAAATCTTATGGTCTTTGTCTGTATAGGCTTCACCCTCCTGATTTTCATTCAACCCGTATTGTTCCTTCTCTTGCCCCAGAGCGGCAACATGGTTTCCTTCTCTTCTAGGGAGCTTCTCGTCCGCAACGAATTCGACATCGTGTAAGTATACGACGTCAAGGTAGTTGGTGTGCAGGCGCCGAAGACTGCGCGCAATACTACTTTCGATAGCCTCAGGGGTATAGTCACATCCGGTAGGATAGCGGCCGACTTTGGTAACCTACATGCGTTACTGTTAGCCATCCTGCAGCATTGGATGAGTACACACACCAACTTATACGAATCCCGAGGGAATTCAGGCCCTAAAGCTCGAAGAGCGTTCCCGAGGATGATCTCGGAATCCCCATAGAGTGGCGCAGTATCGAATACATTCAAACCATAGCTGTCGGCTTCTCAGAAATACATTCCGCATCATCTAGTAAATCACATACCGTAGAGCCAGTCTGGCAGCTCGCAAGGGTGTCACTCCAGAGATATGATCGGCTTCGTTATAGATGCGGGAAAACGTAGCAGTGCCAAAGATGATCGCAGGAAAGCCATTCAACGTCGTAGTCTGATGATCGAGAGTCAGCACAGGGCCAAGATATCGAGCATGTGAGTTACCAGCTTGTACGCCTCCTTCGGCTTGTCAGCATCATCGTCTGGTATTTCATTGAGAGGAGGAAGAGGATAATCAGGATCAGGAGCGTCAAAATGGACCGTCATACCACCTGATAGATAGGCGCAGATCGTCAAATGAGGGATGAGACAATCGCAATTAGTTCAACGTTGTCTTTTAACACTATCTGATCCCAAGACCAAAAACTAAAAGCAACTATCCGGCCCGAAATACACGACATGGTCACATGAAACTCATGATGGAGGAAAACAGTTTCCTAAATATAATTGAACTGTATTATGACAACGAGCACGACTGAAAGAAAGGTATAGCACTCCTCCAGCGCAAGCTTAAGTTATAGCTTGTCCCTCGACCAGCTGGCAGTGACAATGGGTTAGCGCAGTCCTAGAGTTTCACGTTTTGAGTATACGACGCACCTCTTTGCGAACCTCGAGTTAACATCCAACATTTTGATGTTTTCATCTTGTTTGACGTCGTTCCAGGGAGTGGGGTTACTCTTTGTCCAAACGACTGTTCACTCGTTCATTAGCAGATGCGAATAGAGTCGCAAGGAATGCATGACGTACCCGTAGGACCACGAGCGAGGCGGGTCAAATACCAGCCTGCACCCCCGACGGCCAAAC